ATTAAGACTGCATTCAGTCTGATTTCGTTCTTAAAAGGAAACCAATAATTTGCGATTCGTAAAAAAGGAATATCAAAAGACGATCAAATTGATCTAATTTCCTAAGAGATCACCATGAAAGCTATAAGAAGTTCGATATATTTACAGCTGGAAATCTAGATTATTGACTAACATGTAAATTTATCGTTTCATTCGTCTACGTATCCATTTGCTTCGTATAAATAAATTATGATCGCCTGTGATTATTTGACATGCACGCTTGTTTCCGCCCTACGTAATGCGTAACAAATCGTTTCTTTAATAACCGAAACAAGTACAACAATATGAACAATGTCGAATTACACATTCGAATGGAAATATTTTTGTGCAGATTTAAAGGAGTAGAAGTTATGAAATAATTGGAAATCTGATAAACAGTTATTTTATTATAAACGACACATATAAGTTGTATTATTTCGTACATGTATGTTATTACAAATATATTCAGACGATAAACGGATATAACATAAATATATCGTATAATATATATAATATATATATACTATTCGTATAAGTACAGATCTGTTCAATTTGTTATATTATAGACGCAGTTTATTTAACTCTTTCGCTGTTTAATTCGGTTTAATACGCTGAAGAAATTCATTTTTTCTTTGTTTCATCGAAATTTGATTCATTTGACAATATCGCCTAGATTTATAGTTGATCAAAGATTTTGTTTGATTGTTCCCTGTGAAGTTAAATAGAGACTTTCCCCCCAAATAGAAATGCTTTTGATTCGTGTAGCGAAAGAGTTACGCTATTCGAAGACACGATTGATTATAGTTTATTATATCAACTTTAGCATAAACGGAAGAAGGCACATAGACTGTGACGAATATGAAAATGTATACGAGTCTATTAGTTGTTTATACTTTACATATGTCAGTAACACAATTTTTTTTTTTTTTTTTTTTTATCTACATCTTGTACACTTATAATTTATATTTGCGAAACATAAAAGTCTTCTTTAAATAAGATTTTAATTTCAAAATTGTCAAGAAGATATTCCTTTGTCCTTTACTGTCGATGAATTAAATTTAATCTAAAATATGTTTCAATATGAAATCAGTAGAGTAACATAATGTAATGATCGAAAATGTTGCTGGTCAATATTAATATGTGACAACAAGTAAATTTTTTTTCATTATACGGTGAACAGCTTGAAGCAGCAACTGTTGCGTCGAATGACACATTTATCCACACAACAACTATCATTCTTTATTATTTTTATAATCAATGCACATTGTCACGGTTACATTTATTTTTTGAACAGAAACTTTCATGCTAGCGAAAGAATGGCATCGTTTATTTGCAATTATATTATGCTGTCGATGAATTAGAAATTTATTAGAATTTTAACATTTTTGAAATCCACCATATCCAAGATCTTAGTTTTTCCAAATTTCAATAGCACGATTCAAAATCGAAAAATAAAGTTTTTGACTGTAAATCAAGCTCAATGTGTATTTTAGTTAATTTCGTTAAAAAATTGAGACTGTACCAATTTCAAAGCTGAAATTCGAGTTCTAACGATTGTAAAAATACCCTGTAAAACAAGTTTCACTTTCTGATCAATTGCATTTATCGCAAACGAACGACGCCATAATTTTCCAATAGGCAGTCGTAATGTTCGAAATGAAATATATAGGTATTATATATTTATTATATATGTACGTTATACTCTACGGTTTGCTTTACAACACTATCAAGTGTGAAATATAGATGTACGTTCGTTGACAGTCGAAACTCGAGATCAACCGAGGTTAAGTCGGCTGCAGTGTACGCTCGAAAACTGGAGAACCTAACGAATAACTTTTACAGAATCAATTTTTTTTTTCTCTCTCTCTAATCTACCATGTACATCGAAAGCATCGCGGTATTTTTCGTCCATGCCCTGAATTATCGCGCGCTCACGAACGAGAGACATGAATTTTTTACAACTAACCGGTCGACCATATTTTATCATTTGATGCCTTCTTTTTTTCCCGTTCTACTTTCTTCCTATTTCCTCTTCTACGAAATATATTTATTGTATACAGTCAGAAAATACTCATCGCGTGTTTATGGATTTATGATACAATATTCGAACGTTTGATTCAAACCCTCTCCCTTTAACTACGATGTTAGATTCTGAGTTTATCTCATTAGTAATCGTACTTTCAGCTATTCAAGGCAAAGTAAAAGGTTCCACTTTCTCAAGTGGAAATATTAGGCGTAGAAAAAAATTACTCGCTTATAGTTTTATACATTTGCTCCGTTATTCTATGAAATTATTATTTCATAGTTTTTTTTTTTTTTTAGTTCTACGTATGTGTTCTGTACATCTTCTATACCTAAGAAATTCCTGATACAAAGATAAGGTGAATTAATGAAAAGAGTCGAAAGTGTTCCAGTATTGAAACACGAGAACAAGTAGCTATTCTACGTTCAATATAAAACTAGAGGCACAGAATTTTTTCTACATCTAATATTCAAGATACCAGCCTGTGATCGCAATCTTTTAAAAATTATATATCAATGCATGCGTTGAACATAGTTTTGTTAGCATGATTAGTCAAAGCAGTCACAAATTGTTGAAGGCATCGGTGACAATGTAAAATATCCATATGATTTATACAAACATTCGATCAGACAGTTATTTGTGTAGTTACTTTGGCCCCTAATATGGGTAACTTTTGAACTTTCTTGTTCTTACTTTTAAACTTTCTACCTTTCTCATAACTCCAATATTTCCTCTCCAACGGGAAGACGATCTAAGACCCATCCTAATCGCAAGCTTTCGCTTTAACACATCGTCGCTGATAATTGTACGGAGATTTTAAAGAATAGGACAATTTCTGACTTGTCATTTTCAATTGGAAATTTTTAATTTAATTTATTATTGATATAAGATCCTTGGAACCGTTTATGTTTGGTCTTTTTAGTCGTGAAAAGAGGAGAAAATAGCACGGCCGTTAATGTTAGTAACATTCACTCAAGAGGTCGAGAATTTATTATCCATTGATTTGTGCTGCACCAAGCATTTCCTTTTGATTTTCTCGTGATATATCGAACGATTGATGGAATTTTCTACGATCGAATAATATTGGAAAAACGATGAAGTATTCGATTCGAACACATTTTATTGTGCGCTCTTACGGAAAGTGCACGAAGAGAGAGAACGCGTGTTACAAATAGCAAATCTGGCCAATTCATCGATTAAATTCCAATCGAACTCAATATACGCCGGATAATTTGTTCGTCCAAACAGAGAGAAAAATCCGTTCGGACGCAAAAGCGATTGTACGTCACCGAATAAAGGAAATCAGTCTTCTCTATGAATGTTTTCAAAAATGCGATTGACCACACAATTAAATACGCGTGCACCCGCCCGTTTTTCTACGGCCCATTCCCGTAAGTTTATGCGAGATGCTTGATCGTCGATCGTCTCTACTCCTCTGTCTGCCGTTTCATACTTTCGCGAAAGTACATACATGGCGGTTAATCGAGTCGATGATCGTTTTGCGGAAAGCGTATCAGTCGGCTTTTTGTAAACAGTGCGATGCAGCTGAAGCGTTTGCACGACCAGAGTGCAACGTTCGTTACGTTTTAACATCTTCCTCAGTACTGCCGTTCAATTATCACACAAACATTAATACACA